GGTGGTCGGTGGCCTCCCTGCAGCGCACGATCCAGCTCGTGGAGCTGGCGCTGCTGAAGCTGATGCTCACGCAGCTGGCAGCGCAGTGTCCTGCTGCCCCTCCTCCCCAACCCTACGCTGGGCTAGGCGAGAGATACATAGGTCAGGATCCCCCAGAACTTGATGCTGGGGTTGCAGGGGTTCGAGTTCGTGAAGCTCGCAGCCCTGCTCGTCGCCAGAAAGTGGAGCACCCTACGGCAGGCTCGTGTCGTGTCGACCCCAGCGCTGGCTCCTGACACCGCGGGGATCGCTCAACCTGGAACGATCGGCCGTTTCCAAACAGTCCAGATCGTTCCACATCGAACGCTTCTGGGTCGCCCGCGGCGTTCACCCTTGAACGCCGCTGGCGGGGTCGCCGCCGGTCGACACGACACGAACCTGCCGTACCCCCTGCCAGGCAGCACCGCCCAGGAGGCCGTCCCTCCTGGAGGCACCTTAGCAGCCCGGGACACTCTGGAGCAGGCGGTGGGAGCATCGTGCTGGCAGGAGCGGGCAGCGGTGCCGGTGCCGGTGCCGGTGCTGGCAGCGGGAGCCTCCGCGGTGCCGGTGCCGTGCACGTCACCGACGTGGAGAGTGGTGGTAGCAGCGAGCGGTTCTTTCCAGAGGCATTTCCAAGAGGAGAGCGCCGAGGAGATGTCGAGGGAGTGCCCTGTTCCTTGCCAGGTAATCAGCACGGCCCAAGAAGCCGGCCCTTCAGGGTGGCGCCAGCAGCCCAGGGCACTCAGGAGCAGGCGGTGGTGAGAGTAGCAGGAGCCCCCTCGACGCTGTGGCGGTCCAGGGTGTCGAGGTCTGGAGTGCGAGCGTCTCAAGCTGGAGCTCGGGGCAGGCATTGCTAGAATGGGTGCGGCATGACAGAAAGCAAGCAGATGATGCAGGAGGCGGAGCTGGCATGCCACAGCTGGCGTGCCTTCAGGAGCATCGTGCGGCCAGCTCTCGGCGGCGAAGGCGTGGTTGGCAAAGCGTGGGCTTCAGAGCTCAGTTCGAGCTGTAGAGGTCACAGGAGAGGGCATCCTCAACTCGTGTTGCGGCGCATCAGTGCTTAGTCGGTTGCCAGCTGCACCTTGCCCCAGCCTCATGACCAGCAGGCTGTCAGTGCATAGGTTTTCGTACACGCGACGTTGGGCTAGGGAGGCCGCTCTACGTGGTTTCAGTGTACCTGATCACGTCACCGGGTTTCAAGGGTAGCATTGCGCTTCTAACCGAGCCGTTGAGCTTCCTAGAAGGCCTTGATGGGCCATGGCTGGCTCTGGAGGACTGGAGCACGTTGCCTGATGGAGTCGTGGACTGGGTCTCCACGGCCAAGGGGTCATCCTGCAGGCAGGGAGACCCACGTGTGGGGCCAGGGAAACAGCTTTCGGAACCTCGCCCGCACGCGCGTGCGTGCCGCAAGACCCACCCACCCCAGCCCAGACTGTATCGCCACCGTGCCACTGGGCACGGAGGGGGCGTGCTCTCAGGTCTCTTGTCTAATCTCGGGCTGGGCGAAAGGGGGGGATAGCAAAAGGGGGGGTTGATAATCAGTTCACGTAGCTGATTTTCCCGGCGCCTCCCGGCGCCGGGAGGCGGCCATGCAACATGTATCGAGGAATGGGCCCAGCGGCGGAGCCGAAACCAGCTGCACGCAGCAGATTTCGTAACCTATCCCCCCCCCCTTTCGTTCGGCCCGATAATCCCTGGGGCCCCAGCCCTTAGCCCTGAGGAGTCTGTAAAGGGCCCAGGCCCCAATTGCAGAAATTTGGCGGCAATCTCGGCGTGCCCCTCCTGGGCCACCCCGCGGCTTGTCGCATGACTCTTTCGGGCCCAAGAAGGCCCCGAGACGGGCCAAGAGGGCCCCGCGAGGCCCCCAAGACGGTCCAAGAGGATCCCGAATCGCCGAAAGATCGTTCCAAGACGCCCAAGGTGGCCCCGAGATGGCCCGAGAGGCCCACCAAGACGCCCCAAGATGCCTCCAAGAGGCCTCCCAAGAGGGCCTCAAGAGGTAAACATCTCTGATGTTCCTGAAGTGTTTGGAAGATTCTTGCGTTCTCGCCTCTTGGGCTTTCCGGCGCTCCAAGACGGTTCAAGAGCGCCCCGGGACGGCCCCAGAGGCGCCCACGACGATCCGAGAGGGCCCCAAAGGAGCCGAAGAGAGGGAAAACGAACTGAAAATCCGAGCCTTCCGCCCCAAGAGGCCCCCAGGAGGCCCCAAGAGGCGCCTGGGAGGCCCCGAAAGGCCCCCCAGAGACCCCTAAGAGGCCCCCAAGAGGCCCTTAAACGGCCCCCAAGAGGCTTCCGAACTGTCTCCAGAGGCCAACCTTGGAAATGTGCGGTCGAGGCCGCAAGGGCGCAGTACCCTTGAACCTGTGGACACCCATGGGGCGGACACGCGCAACCCGTGTAGATGTCGCCCAGTGAGCCCTCCCGCTATGGCTCAGCTCGCTGGACTCGATGAGTGACTGCTCGTCCGCATCTTTGCTGGCGAAGCTGCCGGCTCCTGCGCGCCCCTTGTCTGATGCGTTTGGCCTGGGAAATGGTCCTTCTCCTCCCTCTCCCAGCTGCGACCGCGGGCCCAGGACCCTCCGTAGCTTTCTTGGCCTTGAGCCCGACGTCCTTCCAACATCTCCCCAGGGCGGTCTCCAGGGCTCTCGTGGAGGCCGCAAACTGGGTCTTGGAGGTCTCAAGGACCAGCTCCAGTTCGGTGCATCCATCAACAATTTTGATACCCGCCTGTCCTCGCTCCCGAAAGATGTTGCCACCTGTGCCCAGGCATTGCGCATGGGTATCAGTCACTGCGCTCGTGATAGCCATCTCTGCGCGGTCCCGGATGAGATCCAGAAGTACAAGGTACCCTGAGAATCTTCGAGCTAAAAAGTTAGGACACACCTATGATTTAGGACGCGCCGCATCATTAACCTAATAGTTAGGTTCGACCTAACATTTAGGAACATAACACATCTTCTCGTACAGAAGCGAAAACCTAACTTTTAGGTCAGAGTTAAAGCGATAAGTGCGCGACACTGTCGACGCGCTTCAACCACGAAGGCTTATGCCAAAATGGCTACGGGCGGGAGGCGAGGCAGGAGAGGGGGAGGGGAGAGGAAGGGAACGAGGAGGAAGAAGGAAGGGAGGAGCAAAGGAGGGGGGAGAGCAGAAAGGAGGGGAAGGGAGGGGCGGCGACGACGACGATGGACCCCCAGATCTCTCATGGGGTGCGTTCTGACAAGGATTTCGAAGGGAACACAGCCGTGGCCACGATGGCGCCACCCAAGGCCCAGAAAGACCCGAAAACGTTAAACAACTTGGTCCATCGATCGGCGCCGACGACGGCGGGGGGCGACGACGGACGGCGACGACGACCGACGCCGACGACGGCGGCGGCGGCGACGACGGCGGCGCGGCGGCAACGACGACGACGACGACGACGGACTCCCAGATCTCTCTCGGGGCGCGTTGTGATTGGGATTTCGAAGGCCACGAGGGCGCCCCCAAAGGCCCAAAAAGGCCAGAGAACGCTAAACAACCTGAAACTCGACCGTCGATCGACGACGGCGGCGGCGGCGGCGGGGGGCGACGACGGACGGCGACGGCGACCGACGCCGACGGCGGCGGCGGCGGCGACGACGACGGCGGCGCCGCGGCGACGACGACGCCTTTCGCGGATCGGGTTCGTTTGACCAGGATTTCGCCAGGAGGGCGCCCCTCGAGGCCCCAAAAGGCCAGAACACCTGGACCCTCGACCCCCGACCTGGACCCTCGACCCCTCGATCGGCGCCGACGTCGACGACGACGACGATGACGACCACATCGACGACGACGACGATCCTCGATCCCTCTGTCCTCATCCCCCCCCCTTCCCCTCCCCACCCTCCCCCTACACGTCCTCCTCTGTCATCGTTCTCCTCCCTCCCCCCGCCCTCCCATCCCCTCCCCTCGTGCTCGGATTTCGGGTGGGCATTCGGGATTCTTCAGAGCTTCCCAAAACTGTTGACAGGGCCCCCTCCGAGGGCCCGAGACGACCTCCGATGGGCCCTGGACAATTTCGGAGGCCTCCGAAAACCCAAAAAGGATGGGGAGGTCTTGCAGAATCCCGCTGCCGCAGTCGCCGTCGTCGTCGTGATCGTCGTCATCGTCGTCGGCGCCGCCGTCGTCGTCGTCGTCGCTGTACTCGTCGTCGTCGTCGTCGTCGTCGCCGTCGTCGCCATCGCCGTCGTCGTCCTCGACGTCCTCGTCAACGTGTCGTCGATCGTCGCTCGTCGTCCATCGCCGTCGGCGTCGGTCACTGCCGTCGTCGTCGTCGAGATCGCCCGACGTCGTCGTTGTCGTCGCCGCCGTCGTCGTCGTCGTCGTCGAAGTGGTCGTCATCCTTGACGCCGTCCGCTGTCGTCGCCGTCGTTCGTCGCACGTCGTCGTCGTCACCGACCGCCGCCACCGTCGTCGTGGACGTCCGTCGTCGTAGTCGTTTTTCGTCGCCCGCCGCCGTCGGCCCCCTTAGGTATCGGAGAGCTCTAATGGAGGGGGGGGGACCGCGTGCGGAGCGCCCGCGCTTGACCCCGCGAGCGCTCCGACCACTCCCTCCGACTGCCCTAGCAAGCGAAGGCACATGCGGCTGCGAGGACGGGGGGGGGGGGGGAGAGAGGGCCCTGCTGGATGAGGAGGGAGGGCCATGATGAGGATAGAGGGCCAGGAAGAGGGCCAGCCAGAACAGCTGGGCTTAATTTTTAAACCAGGGCGACGGGGACAACAGGCCAAACACTGGCCATGCACGCGCGTGCTCGGCTGCGGCGAAATCGCCGAATCGTTCGCGGACCTATCTCAATCGTGATCGCTCGACGGTCTGCCTCGATCGCGCTCCTGACTTCCCTCGATCCCCCGACTGATGTCCGAGACCCAGCGCTCCAGAGCGGACGGAGCGCCAGGATAAACAAATAGAGCAGCGTGCTGGGGGCGCCTCCTGGCACCAATGGCTTGAAATACGAACGGACCTACTCGCCAGCCATGCTCATCGCGACCTGCACAGCGCTCGCAATCGGGGCCATCGCCTTCGAATCCGACATGAGTTTCGCCCTGATCGCCGCCACATCGGTCTTGCCCGCGTGGTCCTGGAGGACCTTGTTCTTCAGCAGGTAGTCGTAGCTGTTGAGAAGGCTCTGGATCTCGGGGATCTTGTTGGTCACCTGCTTCTCGATCAGATCGGCGTGGTGCGGGTCCTTCGCATCGAGGCCGCTCACCTGCGCGATCGGCGAGCAGATGAGCAGAATGCAGAGAGAGAGAGAGAGAGAGAGAGAGAGAGAGAGAGATAGAAGATAAACAGGGGGAGATAAAGAGAGAGAGAGAGAGAGAGAGAGAGAGGAGGGGGAGGATCAGAGAGAGAGAGAGAGAGAGAGAGGTATCTATATACATATAGATATATAGGGGCACCACACACAGGTTTAAAAGGGCGGGTGTTGGGTGGGAAGCGGTCATGGGGGCCCTGGGGTGGTTCGGATCGCGAGCGATCTAAGCTACAATTTGGCTGGGGGGGGCGCCACCTGTGCGCGCACGCGGTTTCACAGCCTTGGCCCAATCCAGGGCCTGCGGGCCGACGGCGACGAGTAAGGTCAGGAATAATGATGCGGGTCGGGTGCAGCTTCGGTGTTGGACGTCTCCTCCGATTCGTCCTCATCATCCTCGTCCTCATCGTCCTCCTCGTCTCCCTCGCCGTCCACCCTCGCCCGCCCCCTCATCCTCGCCCTCGCCACCAGTTGCCATTTTGGCCCCGAGCCGTTCCACACTGGCCCCGTTGAGTTTAGTGCTGTTTCCCTAGTGACCTCAAGGGCCTTCACCTTCAAGTTGTTGAGGTTCGTGTGGGCGGCCTTCACCTTGGTCATGGCGACCAGCATGGGATCCTTGTCCTTACTGTTGATGGGCTCCTCGATGCCATGCTTGATGGCGGGCGGGGACTGGTTCTCGAGCGGCTTGCCGATGTCGAACTCGAGGCCCGACAGCCAGTCCTGAGCCTTCGCCAGCCAGTCACCGTCGACCACCTGCCCCGACGTTCCGAGGCCCCTCTCGCGCCTGACCTCAGCACCCCTCGTGACCTCCATGGTCTTGACCTTGTACCACTCCTCCCCGTCGATCTCGATCGCGACGATGCGGCCCTGCTCCATGGCCGCCTTCGCCTTATCGTACCCCCCGAACTGCGTCTCCACCATGCCCCAGGGGAGGTACTGATCCTTGACGTGCCACTTCGTGCTCTCCGACACCTTGATCATGTCGGTGAAATACGGGTGGGAGAACCCGCCCTCCTGGGGAGAGGGGCGGTGGAGAAAACGGAGGGGTGGGCTCAAGAGTCTCCGAATGCACTGGGCAAGTGCGCCTGGAAGCTTACGGGGGTGGACATGGTGTGCGTGTGTATGTGCGTGTATGCGTGGGTGGTGGCGGTGGCGGGGGCGGGTTAGCTGGGCCCGCCATGCCCCCCATTCACCTCCCCTCGCGGGCGGGCGGCGAGAGAGGAGTTCCCCTGCCCCTCCCCCCCACCCCCCATCCCACCCAACATCCTCAGCAGCTCCCTCACCGTCGCCCTCCCCCTCCTCGTCCTCATCCTCCGCACTCCCCTTCGCGTTGCCCTGGTCCCCACCCCCGTCCTCCTCGTCCTCATCCTCCTCATCCCCAGCTTCGTCCTCTTGTTTCCTTCCTATCCTTGCCCCATGCCCGACGTGTCCTTCCAAGAGAGGATCTTGGTGTTGATCTTCTCGCGCTTGCCCTTGCCGTAGCCGAGGCTCACCGTGTCCGTCCAGTCCTTCAAGATGGCGGGGTGGACGCCGTTGGTTCCAAGAGCCATCTTGAACTGGCGCCTGTCATGGGCCGTGATCCCCTGCGCCCCATCCTCCCCCTCAGACTCGTGAATCGTCGCTGCTGGCCTCTTCGCCACGTGGAGCGAACCAGCAGGCTTCGTGTGCAAGACGGCCTTCGCCTTGCCCTTCGCCGTGGCCTTCGGCGCCGCCTTTGCGAACTTGCTGGCGGGCTTGCGCAGCACGACCATGGCGAGAAGCGGAGCGGAGCGAACCTCTGGTTTCGGCGCTGGCCGAAGGATGGGCACTCTGCAATCAGCTGCGCGGTGGTATGGCGCAGTAACTTGACTCGGTGCTCAGATGGGCTGCGGAGCAAACACGTGCCCGTGCCTGATGACGCCCTGCGCGCGTTCCATCCTCATCAACATCACCTTTGCCATAGCCCACCCCCCGCCTCGTCCTCGCCACCCCCTGGGCCCTTCTCGCACCCTACCCTTCTCTTACTGCTTCTACCCGTCTACCCGCCTCCCTCCCCCCCCCACCCGAGCTGCCGCCCCCGTCGCTGCCATAGCGCGCCCGACGCGGCCCACAGCGGACCAGAGGGCGCCCCAGGACACGCCGAGGAATGGCATGGGCCATCCGACCGCCCCCCCTTCCAAGACCCCGCTGGGGGGACACGAGAGCGGCCCATCATGGCCCCACGAGGTCCCGCACTGGCCCTAGGAGGTTCCACGATGGCCCCCAGACGAGCCCACTATGTATATAGTATGTTTGCTGCGGGGGCTCTGAGGAGGCCTTCTTTGGGTCCCTCTTGGAGCCTTTTTGGGGGTAGCCTTAAAGCCCTCTTGTGGGCGTTCCCGTCGCCGCTTAGTGGCGCGGATGAGGGTCTGGCTCAGGACCTTGGAACCAGACCTTATCCGTATCATGTTGGGGGCATTTTGGGGGTCGTTGGGGGCTCTCTCGGGGCCGTGCTGGGGGGAACGTTAAGGCCTTGTTTGTTGTTAGTTGTCTAGCCTATTGTCTGGTGGCAGCCGTTGCAGCCGCTGCCGATTTGGACGGGCATCGAACTCGAATGAGCTGCCCAGCAGACAGATCATTGGTCATGCGACCTATGCAACATGCGTAAGCAAATGCCAAGCAAATACCTCATCACTATCGTTTCCGACCGCTTGGCGGGTTGTATACCGTGCCTTTCCGCCAAACCTATGTCCGACATGATGCCGACGAAATCCTCCCCGCCGTATGTCCACGAAACTGTAGGTGAAAGATACTGCGACTGATCGCCGATGTGCCATAGTACATGAAACTTGCTAGTCTCTTTCCACAGGTACAACGGCGGGTCATTGTTTTTTGCTGCCACGTGGAGCCACTGGTAGTGCAAATGGATTTTGTCGATGGCCCCCCTGAGTTTCGCTACGACGTGGTCTGGGAGAAACGTCCAATGATACCCGTCGGGCCCTTTCGCATCCAAGCACTCATGAAACTGTTTGAAGTACTTCAGAACGAGGGTCACGTGGCTGTAATAAGCAGTCTTCTTTGCGTACTTGCACCACACTTCATACATGATCGGGGCGAGGTGTCTGCACTCCGCGGCTTTGCACCTCAATATCGGGTAATCTGCTTTCGGTTTTTCCATGTCCGTGAACCTGTCCAAACTCATGCGTGAGATTTGCGTTGACGTCTTCCCGGACCGATATAGGGCTGTTATTTCGTTCCAAATAATAGTTAACTTTTCCATTGGGCTCGCAGCAACAACCAAATCTTCAGCGTACGCAAGGTGCCACAGTACATTGCCATGTATGTTAGGGCCAACTCCCAGGCTGACCACGTGGAGCTCGTCGTCCTGCACGCTGTAGATGTGACAACCCAAACCGCCATCTTCCCGCTTCTTGAACAACGCATGGGGCGGTTTGCCTTTAGCTACACAATGTGCCTCCCACGTAGCACTGTCTTTGAACGTGGTGTTGGGCCACTGCACATGTGGCCCGAACGTGAGATAGTTCATGGCCGTCTCGGAAGTGTCTGCCTTGCAGTTGTGGCATGGGTGGGTCGACGCCCAGTGCCCTGGCATCTCGTAGTGGTTGATCAAGAAATCCAAATCGCCACTCAACACCCAAGGAACTCCGAAAAACCCGTCTGCTAAGTTTGTCCCAGGAAGGCCGTCGCCATCAGAATAAGGATCTCCGTTCCAATCGCGGGTGGGGTAACGACCTTGCTCCAACGCCCTGAATGACCAAATCAAGATTCTCCAAAACTCTGTTTTCGTCGTTTTCCCATGTTGGAAATTGTCTGCCTCGACTACAGCAGTTTTGTTGAAAAAACCGCCAGCGAAAGAGTAACGATCAACAGTGGTGCCCCGTCCTAAAATCCCAAACCAGTTGATGCATTCTAAGCTCAGATCTTTGCTGCACTCAACTCCATCACCATGGATTCCAATGGGCACGCCGTGCGAGAGGAGGTTTGGCTTATCCATATTTGGGTTGCCTTGCCGCCTGGGGTCATCTCGTCTAACTTGCCTCCAGAACGATGATATCTTGTGTTTGGAAGCCCCGAACTTCACATCAAACTCATACCTGAAATGCTCGAACAAATGTGCAAACCAAACGTGAGGCATGTTATAATACTGCTTGACCAGCGCTGGCCCTGACAAGGTCCCCTTGGTCAAAACCACTGGTATGTCGCCGCCGATCGGCTCTGGCACTGCCACCAACGTTCGAATGTAGCGCACTAGGTCCCTCCAACAATTGCCAGCATTCTTGCCCGACGTGCCGAGCGTACTCAACTTCTCGATGACTGGATGGTGGGCGCCGTCCTGCACGGCGAACGAAGCGATTGTCTGAACTTGGGTCGCAGAGAACCTTCCGAAACAAAACTCCTCCATCAAATAAGACCCCAGCGCGGACTTCGGCCCGCGGCAATTGTGGTCTGCTGTTCTGGCGCGCTTGTGCACCCCGCCTCGGTCGGCCAAGAAGGCGTCGATGGCGTGCACCCACTCCGCCCCGCCGCCCCCTGGCTCAGCCATCAGACGGCCGCCCGCCGACGGTGGTCGGCGGCGCGCGGCAGCTACATTATAGCGGACATGACTCGGATCCGAGCCCAAACTGCAACCACAGAATTAACAAAAACAAATCTGTTTTTAATGAAATCATAGTCTACATGGTGCGTTTCTTTTGGAAAACCGACGTCTGTTTTGTCAATATGTTATTCGGTAACAACATAACAATTATCAAAATAAGCGCTTTTTTTGCAAAACTGAACTTGCTGATATGGACAACCTGTACAAGTAGTTGAACATATTTAACAATAATAGCCCTCTTTTTAACAAAACATGTTCTTCGGTTTTCCAAAAAGGAACCTCATTTTATTAGAACATGATGTCTGGTGTCGGTGATTTTATCAAAACCAACGTCTGTTTTATAAAACCGAACCTCTTTTTATCAAAACATGACGTCTGCATATGATTATTTTAACAAAACCGACGTCATTTTTGAAAAAGGAACTCAAATTTGATAAAAATGACGTGGTTTCCTCTTCAAAAAAAACAAAGCAACATTTCATCAAAAGGAGATGTAGTTTTGATAAAACAAGTGTTAAACAATTATAAAAACAATCTTTTTTTAACAAATTACTGTGTAGTATCCCGTCCACAATTGTAAAAGCAGCGTTCTTTTTGTTAATTATTTGTGGTGCCTTACTGATGCTTTTGCAAAATAAGGCTTGTTTTTGTTAATTTAATCGGCGGCTCCAGAGAGCCCATCTGCGTTCGCGAGGCCCTGAAGGACCCACTGCCGTAGAGCCCCTCGCCCCTCTCCTGAGACCCCCCATGGAGGCCCCCAGTGCCAGAGAGGCCCCTGCCCCCTCGGAGACTCACGTCGCCCGCCCCAATCGGCCGCGGGCGGCGCGCGCGGGGCGTCGGCAGCTCCCCGCTGAAGCAATTTCGAGGACAAGCCCACCGCCAGCCCTGCCCGCCGAACAGCAAAAGTTCCGGTTCTGGGTCGCCCGCGCCAGGGGTCAGTTGGGAGCGCTGTCGCGAGCTCCGCCGAGCCCCAAGGGTGGGAGTAGCAGGACGGCCGAACGAGAGTGGACGGAAGAACGAGCACGCGCAGATAGCGAGGATAATAAGCGAGAACAACAGGGAATGACGGAGGGAATGAGGAGGGAGTGAAGGCGGGAATGAGGAAGGGAACGCACTTCAACCATGAATTATTTTCCATGGTACACTACACTGATACACCACAGTAATGCACTACACTAATGCACTGCGCCAGTACACTATACACGAATACACTGCATTGCTACGCTACGCGAACACACTGCGCTCATACACTACACTGAGGGGGGATGCGCTTTAATCGCGCATACCTTTCCATGATACACTACACTAATACACTACACTAATTCACTACGCTGAGACACGATACACGAGCACACTACGAATACATTACACTAATACACTACATATAAACTACCCATATATACTA